TTGGTAGTGTCCACGAAGTCGAGCATAACTCTCTCATCCGGACTCCAAATCGACTGGTTCCGATGGCATTAGAAAGCTATTTCAGTGGGCTACAATTCCCGTCTAACGTCAAAATTCCAAATTCGGACTCGAACATTGTCAAAATTGGATAACAAAATCGATCATGAAAATACGTACTACAATTCAAGGACGTGAATGCGCATCAAGAAACGTGCACAAAAACACTCGCTAGAAAAGATACGCAAATGAGTAAAAGTTCAAAAGCATGCACAAAAGTACTCACGCAAAAGTGCATTCGCAAAAAGGATCATGAAAACACAAACTACAATCCTAGGACACTAATACAAATCTACAAACATGCACAAACACGCTCCCTCAAATGGACATGCACAAAAACGTACATGTAAAAAAACATGCGCTAAAGTGCATCCGCAACAACATTCTAAAAAACACGAACTACAATACTATGACTTTAATACGCATCAAAAGACAACAGCAAAAACACTAGATAAAAAAGATACAATTGAGTGTAGCAATAATACTCGACGTTTACGTTTTCGTGGATTTTTGTTTGGATTAATTTATATTTCTGTTTTTATTGGTGGATTTGGTATCTTTTAGGTACAAATCGAAAATTAGGTGTCCATGAAGCAAAAATAATCAAAGGGTAAGAAAAGAGTTGCAATTAAGAAAATAAAATAAAAGTAGAAGAGAGAATCCCTCAACATCTTTGGTAGTGTCCACGAAGTCGAGCATAACTCTCTCATCCGGACTCCAAATCGACTGGTTCCGGTGGCATTAGAAAGCTATTTCAGTGGGCTACAATTCCCGTCTAACGTGAAAATTCCAAATTCGGACTCGAACATGGTCAAAATTGGATAACAAAAGCGATCATGAAAATACGTACTACAATTCAAGGACGTGAATGCGCATCAAGAAACGTGCACAAAAACACTCGCTAAAAAAGATACGCACATGAGTAAAAGTTCAAAAGCATGCACAAAAGTACTCACGCAAAAGTGCATTCGCAAAAAGGATCATGAAAACACAAACTACAATCCTAGGACATTAATACAAATCAACAAACATGCACAAACACGCTCCCTGAAATGGACATGCACAAAAACGTACATGTAAAAAAACATGCGCAAAAGTGCATCCGCAAAAACATTCTTAAAAACACGAACTACAATACTATGACTTTAATATGCATCAACAGACAACAGCAAAAACACTAGATAAAAAAGATACAATGGAGTGTAGCAATAATACTCGACGTTTACGTTTACGTGGATTTTTGTTTGGATTAATTTATATTTGTGTTTTTATTGGTGGATTTGGTATCTTTTAGGTACAAATCGAAAATTAGGTGTCCAAGAAGCAAAAATGATCAAAGGGTAAGAAAAGAGTTGTAGTTAAGAATATAAAATCAAAATAGAAGAGAGAATCCCTCAACATCTTTGGTAGTGTCCACGAAGTCGAGCATAACTCTCTCATCCCGACTCCAAATCGACTGGTTCCGGTGGCATTAGAAAGCTATTTCAGTGGGCTACAATTCCCGTCTAACGTCAAAATTCCAAATTCGGACTCGAACATGGTCAAAATTGGATAACAAAAGCGATCATGAAAATACGTACTACAATTCAAGGACGTGAATGCGCATCAAGAAACGTGCACAAAAACACTCGCTAGAAAAGATACGCACATGAGTAAAAGTTCAAAAGCATGCACAAAAGTACTCACGCAAAAGTGCATTCGCAAAAAGGATCATGAAAACACAAACTACAATCCTAGGACATTAATACAAATCAACAAACATGCACAAACACGCTCCCTCAAATGGACATGCACAAAAACGTACATGTAAAAAAACATGCGCAAAAGTGCATCCGCAACAACATTCTTAAAAACACGAACTACAATACTAAGACTTTAATATGCATCAACAGACAAGAGCAAAAACACTAGATAAAAAAGATACAATGGAGTGTAGCAATAATACTCGACGTTTACGTTTACGTGGATTTTTGTTTGGATTAATTTATATTTATGTTCTTATTGGTGGATTTGGTATCGTTTAGGTACAAATCGAAAATCAGGTGTCCATGAAGCAAAAATGATCAAAGGGTAAGAAAAGAGTTGCAATTAAGAAAATAAAATCAAATTAGAAGAGAGAATCCCTCAACATCTTTGGTAGTGTCCACGAAGTCGAGCATAACTCTCTCATCCCGACTCCAAATCGACTGGTTCCGGTGGCATTAGAAAGCTATTTCAGTGGGCTACAATTCCCGTCTAACGTCAAAATTCCAAATTCGGACTCGAACATGGTCAAAATTGGATAACAAAAGCGATCATGAAAATACGTAATACAATTCAAGGACGTGAATGCGCATCAAGAAACGTGCACAAAAACACTCGCTAGAAAAGATACGTGTTAAGTGTATATTTTTACACTTTATCATACCTTTTTATTTGATCTTTTGGTGTGTTTTAATGATAATTGGTGCTTAAAAAGTTGATTTATTGTATTTTAGGTACAAATTGAAGAATTGGAAAAGTATGGGGTCAAAACTGCAATTTTGGAGAAAATATGGGCCAAAAGTGAAAAAACCAAAATCTGGAGATTTAAAGCTCGGACGGCCGTCCGAGTTTTAGTTCAAATTATGGGACGGCCGTCCGAGACCCCGAAACAGCGCAGTAAAGGGATTTTAATTGCACAAGGAAACTGCCTTCTTCCCCAAGTTCTTCACCCTATATAAGACCTAACCAAGCACACAATTCGGGAGACCTTTTTACGCAATTTCAAGAGCAACAAAGCAATAACGAAGACGAAGAATTCGAAGACTCCAAGCATAGATTTATCGTCTATGATTTATTTTATTTGCGTTTTTCCTTTAATCATGAGTAGCTAAATTACTTATTTCTAGGATTTTATTTGGAACCCTATGTGGGATTTATGAACCCTTTTCTATGATTTTATGCAAGTTTTAATTCCGGATTATTTCTTCTACTTGTTTTATTAAGTGCATGAATTTGATCACCTTATGTGCTTTTATGTTATTGTTAATCGCATGAATCGGAAGATCGGGTTAATAATTAGAACTGTGGTAGAAGAGCCTTTGTGGTATTAACATAGGAATATAGTTAATCTCTTAGGTAGCCATTATTGAGATTTGTGCTTAATGCTGTGTTCTAGAATTAATTGCATAGGAATATAGTAATTGAATCTAGAGTATTAGAATCGTAATACACGCGGAAGCGGGTTATGATTATTTTAGCATCTCAGGTTAATAATCCGGGTTAATTGATTGCATACTTGAAGGAATTGGGGGAATAATAATCACATAGGGGGAAGAATAAAATCCTAGGCTTGTCTACTTTGATTAATCTTCGTGTTTAAATTGCTTTCTTGTTTTTATCTATTTAATTGCTTTAGTTTAGTTTAGTTTATTAATCATCTTTCGACTGTGTAGGGTGGGCTTGATAATAATTGCTAGGATTTAGCGTCTAGGATTAAGTAATTAAATTTTCCCTGTGGGTTCGATATCCGGACTTAATTGTCCACTATATTACTTGTACGATACGTGCACTTGCGTGTAGGTTTTCGACCAACAAGTTTTTGGCGCCGTTGCCGGGGAATATTTTAATTATTTATTTTATCCTAGCTCTATATTTGAACAATTTTCACGATTCACCCATTTAATTTTTGTTTTATTTTATTTTTGTTTTAGGTACGGTGTATGCCTAGGAGGCTCGATCTTGCTAGAGAACCGTTTGATCCCGAAATCGAACGCACTTTTCGAGCCGCTAGGAGACGTCAACACGCAACCAATACAATGGAGGACGAAGAACGCATACGCGCAGAGGGTAATTTAATCAATGCCAATGGAAACCAAGTCCAAGACCCACCTCCTCAACTTCCGTTACAGCCAGCAGCTAGGCCACGAGCACTTCAAGATTACATAATCCCTACCCTAGACGGATTCCGCCCGAGCATCCAATATCCACCCATTGAGGCGCACAATTTTGAGATCAAGCAAGGCCTTTTGACGATGCTCCAAAATAACGGGCTATTTAGTGGGTTGGCAGGTGAAGATCCCCATCTTCACATTGTCAATTTTCTAGATACCTGTAATTCCCACCGTCAAAACGGTGTTTCCCAAGAGGCGCTTCAATTAATTCTCTTCAAGCACTCCCTACAAGGAAGAGCTCGCCAGTGGTTGATGTCCCAAGCCCCCCACTCTATCTCGTCGTGGCCTCAACTCCTCAACCTTTTCATGAAGGTTTATAGCTCACCCTAGAAGGACGAGAGAATCCGACGAGAAATTCACAATTTTGTCCAAGAGCAAGGCGAGCAATTATACGAGGCATGGGAGAGATTTAAAACTCTTTTGCGGCAGTGTCCAACACATGGAGTCGAACAATGGCGGCAAATCCACATCCTCTACCAAGGGATTAACGAGAATGCACGAACGGTCTTAGATGCATCAACCGGGGGGAATTTTATGAGTCAATCGATACCGGATGCATTTATCATGTTAGATCAAATTGCTCAAAATCGGTTTGCCAAGTCAAGCGAGAGGACGGTTAGTGGATCCAAGAAAGTTCCCGGAGTGTTGGAGTTAGATGCAATCACGGCTCTTCAAGCTCAAGTGACCCAAATTGCTCAACAAAATCAACTCCTTCTGCAGCACATCAAAGCAAGTCCACCACAACAAGTCCAAGCCGTTGATTCTCCATGTTGTGAAATTTGCTGTGGAAATCACTACACGCTCCAATGCCAACAAGATGTGGAGTCGCTCAACTACGTCAACAATGCGCCTCGCCAATTCCAAAATCAAGGGTGGAGATCACAAGGGCAATATGGAGGAAATCAACAAGGCCAAGGGTATCAAAGACCTCAAGGCCAATTCCAAAATCAAGCCCCTCCTCAACAAAGCTATCAAGGCAATAATCCACCGGCCCAAAAATCGAACACAGATGAGATATTGGCCCAATTCATGACCGCTACCCAAGCCTCGTTGCGAAATTTGGAGAACCAAGTCGCTCAATTAGCTTTGAATCGAGAGAACCGCCCCCAAGGAGCATTGCCATCAAACACGGAGGACCCAAGAAAAAGGCAAAACGAGCAAGTACAAGCGGTGAGTTTACGTAACGGACGACAATTGGAAGAAGCCCCTAGAAAGGAGACAAATAGTGGAAAAATAAAGGCAACCGAGGCAGCGGAAGAGGGCACAAACGTTCCGAGCGAAACTTCAAAGGCAACGGTCACACCGGCTCCACCCATTCCATACCCGCAAAGGTTCCAACCGCCAAAGTTGAATGCCGAATACCAAAGCTTTGTTGACAAGATGAAGGAAATCCGTATCAATATCCCTCTCATCGAAGCACTCCAACAAATGCCAAAGTGGGTGAAGTTTGTCAAAGAACTCGTAACAAAGGGACAAAAATTGCAAGGAAACGAGATGATTCAACTCACCGAACAGTGTAGTGCAATTCTTACGAGACCTCTCCCTCAAAAACTCGGCGACCCAGGTAAGTTTACTATCCCTTGTACAATAGGAGATAAATTTTTCCGATCACTCATTGATTTAGGGGCTAGCATCAACCTTATGCCTTTTTCTACATATAAGAGTCTTGGGTTAGGTGAAATTGAACCAACGGCTATAACATTCCAATTAGCCGATAGGTCTCTAGTCTACCCAAAGGGGGTTTTAGAAGATGTTTTAGTGAAGGTTGACGAATTTATTCTTCCTGCTGATTTTGTGATTCTTGATATGGATGAAGATAGAGAAATCCCAATTATTTTGGGAAGGCCGTTTTTAGCTACTTCACGTACTGTTATTGATTGTGCTAGCGGGGATCTCACCATGACGGTGCATGACCAAACTATTAAATTTAACGTTTTTAATGCAATTAAGCGTCCGCACAATTCTTATGAGTGTTTTTCTATCGATTTAGTGGAGTCTTGTTCTTTTGAAAATTTTGATTCGTTACACTTGGATTCTTTGGAGGCATCTTTGGTTGTAGGTAACGACTGTGGAGATTAAAGAGTGGAGGAGCAAATTTGTTGGTTAGATTCCGGCGATTTTCTCACCCGACAAAAGTTTGAAAGTTTGGATTTGGCCACCCTTACCACCCCCAAGGCATTCAAAACATCATTGGAGGAACCACCACAGCTTGAGCTGAAAGAATTACCCGGACACCTCAAATATGCCTACCTCGGTAAGAATGACACTTTGCCGGTAATTATCTCACAATCTCTATCTACTTTGCAGGAACAAAGGCTATTGGACGTACTGCGGGAACACAAGATGGCGCTAGGATGGAAAATTGCGGATATCAAGGGAATTAGCCCTTCATTGTGTATGCACAAAATCATCTTGGATGATCAACAACATCCGTCAGTAGAGCAGCAAAGGCGTCTCAACCCCATTATGAAAGAGGTAGTCAAGAAGGAAATTCTCAAGTGGCTCGACGCAGGTATCATTTATCCGATTTCTTATAGTGCATGGGTAAGCCCCGTTCAATGTGTTCCTAAGAAAGGAGGTATGACAGTTATTCGTAATGCAAATAATGAATTAATTCCATCTAGAACAACAACGGGTTGGCGAATTTGCATGGACTATAGGAAATTAAATAAAGCCACTAAAAAGGATCACTTTCCTTTACCTTTTATTGATCAAATGCTTGATAGATTGGCAGGTAAAGAATTTTACTGTTTTTTAGATGGATATTCGGGATATAATCAAATAGCCATTGCACCGGATGATCAACACAAAACCACATTTACATGCCCTTATGGTACTTTTGCATTTAGACGCATGCCTTTTGGTTTATGTAATGCACCTGCTACTTTTCAGCGGTGCATGATGGCTATTTTCACCGATATGGTAGAGAACGGTTTAGAAGTATTTATGGATGACTTCTCTATTTTCGGTGATACTTTTGACACTTGTCTTTGCATGTTGGCTAAGGTTTTGCGCAGGTGTGAAGAAACCAACTTGGTGCTAAATTGGGAGAAGTGCCACTTCATGGTGCACGAAGGAATTGTGCTTGGGCATAAAATCTTGCGAGAAGGCTTGGAAGTAGACAAGGCAAAGATCTCCACAATTGAAAATCTTCCGCCACCTATTTCGGTCAAAGGCATTAGGAGTTTTCTTGGACATGCGGGCTTTTATCGGCGTTTTATCAAAGATTTTTCAAAAATTGCCAAGCCCCTTTCTAACCTACTCGAAAAGGAGACAAAATTCAATTTTGATGGTGAGTGTCTTCAAGCTTTCAACGAGCTTAAGCAAAGGTTAGTATCCGCTCCTATTATTTGCGTACCGAATTGGGATGAACCGTTTGAGCTTATGTGCGATGCTAGTGATTTTGCGGTTGGCGCCGTTTTAGGTCAAAGGAAAGAGAAAATTTTTCGATCAATTTAGTATGCTAGTAAAACTCTTAATGATGCACAATTAAATTACACCACTACGGAAAAAGAGTTATTAGCTGTTGTTTTTGCTTTTGAAAAATTTCGCTCTTACTTGTTAGGACCCAAAGTTGTTGTTTTTACTGATCACGCTGCCCTCAAATATTTGTTTACTAAAAAGGATGCAAAACCTAGACTGATTAGGTGGATTTTAATGTTGCAAGAATTTGATATTGAAATTCGTGATCGAAAGGGTAGTGAAAATCAAATAGCCGATCATCTATCTCGACTTGAGAAAGATGTAGACGAAAGCGATAGAATTTGCATTAATGAAAATTTTCCTGATGAACAGTTGCTTGCTTTTGATAATAAGGTACCGTGGTTTGCCGATTATGTAAATTATTTGGTTAGTCAAGTGCTCCCACCGAATCTCAATTATCATCAAAAGAGGAAATTTTTGCATGATGTAAAATTTTATTTTTGGGAAAAGCCTTTTCTTTTTAGACAATGCAGTGATTTGTTGGTGCGAAGATGTGTCCCGGAACATGAGCAGCAAGACATACTCTTTCACTGCCATGGTTCAGATTATGGAGGACATTATGGGGGCGAAAGAACAGCACGTAAGGTTCTTCAATCAGGTTTTTTTTGGCCCACTCTTTTTAAAGATTCGTATAAATTTGCTATTACTTGTGATCGGTGCCAACGCACGGGCAATATTTCGGCGCACCATGAACTCCCATTGAACACGATGATCGAAGTCGAGCCTTTTGATGTTTGGGGTATTGACTTTATGGGACCTTTTGTCCCTTCATTCAATAACCAATACATCTTAGTGGCCGTCGATTACGTTACTAAGTGGGTAGAGGCAATAGCCGCCCCTACTAATGATGCATCTGTAGTGTGTGCTTTCTTGAAGAAACAGATTTTCACTAGGTTTGGAGCACCAGGGGCAATTATCAGTGATGGTGGATCGCATTTCGTGAATAAGCAATTTGACAACTTGATGGGCATATATGGTGTAAAGCACAAGGTTGCGCTCGCGTATCATCCACAAACGAATGGGCAAGCCGAAGTTACTAACCGCGAAATCAAGAATATCTTGGAAAAAGTGGTAGGCCCAACAAGAAAGGATTGGTCGAAAAAACTCGATGATGCACTATGGGCATATCGCACAGCTTTTAAAACGCCATTGGGAATGACCCCTTACCGTGCGGTGTTCGGTAAAGCATGCCACTTACCGTTGGAGTTGGAGCATTGTTCTTATTGGGCGCTAAAAAAGATGAATTTCGATTACAAAGAATGCAAGGAAAGAAGGTTATTGCAACTCAATGAGTTGGACGAATTACGAGAGCAAGCGTACGAGAGCAATTGGTTGTACAAAGGCAAAGTCAAAAGGTGGCACGACAACAACATCTTGCACCGTCAATTTCAAAAAGGGCAAGAAGTTCTCTTGTTCAATTCACGGCTTAGGTTATTCCCGGGAAAGCTTAAATCAAGATGGTCGGGGCCGTTCATCGTTCAACAAGTCTTTCCACATGGAGCTATAGAAATCAAGGACCGTGAATCGGAACGAGTATTCAAAGTTAATGGAAATCGACTCAAACACTATTGGGGAGATGGTGGCGAACGTCAAGTGGCCTTGGTCACTTTTGCTTGAAAATAAAGAAGCAACGTCCGGCTGAAGACTTTAAACTTAGCGCTTCTCGGGAGGCAACCCGAGCTTTCGTTTTTCTTTCTTTTATTTTATTTTTTTATTATTTTTGTTTTTATTTATTTAGCTTGTTGATGTTCGTTCTTATTTTATCTCAGCTAAAAAAAAAAAAAAAAAAAAAAAGTTTCAGGGGCACTAATAAGAAGTTTTTATTTTGCAGGGACCTAAATGCAATTATTCACACGGCCGTGCAAGAAAAATGGAGGAATCTCACACGGCCGTGTGAGATTTCGGGAGGCTACTGTACAAAATCCGGAAATGGGACGGCCGTGCGGATTTTGCCCTTAAATTTCGCACGGCCGTCCGAAAATTCAAGGGGCTACTGCCCAAAATCGCAAAAGGGCACGGCCGTGCGGATTTTTCACCTAAATTTTGCACGGCCGTGCGAAAAAAAAAAAAAAAAAAACAAAAAAAAAAAAAAAAAAAAACAAAAAAACAATTTCCATAATTTCAAATCCTCTCTCTCCCCCACTTCGAACCCTAGCCTTCCTTTTTCGAAATTTTCCCTTTTCTTTGACAAATTTCACCGAAAATTTACCAACTACACACATATAATATGTAATCAAGGTGGTTTGTTGTTGATTTGCGCCGGTACCCGAGCTTTCGGATGATGAAGAAGATGGTGACGCTCATGCGCAAGGTGGGGTTGGTGAGCAACCCGACGATGGTCCCGACGCTTAAACAGGTGTTTTCTATCCTTAAACTCCGGGCGAATCACATTGAGGGCAATGTGAATTTTAAGTTTGGGGGTGGTTAACTATTGTTTTCTTTTATGTGCGCCCTATTTATGTTTTACTTTTTTTCTCTTTGTTAGTTGCATGCTTTTGTTTTAGTTATCGTTTTTTTTAAGTTTCCCGTTTTTTATTATTTGCTTTCAAAAAAAAAAAAAAAAAAAAAAAAAAATATTGCTTGAGTCGAATGCATCGATGATTTATGATGATGAGAGATGATCAATGTTTGATGATGAAATTGCTTGTTTTATGTGATAAGGATTTGATGTTTGTTTAGCTTTCGATTCAACGGGACTTAGAAGCGAATTATTGCTAGGAATCACATTTTGTGCATTGCTTTTGTTGAATGTTTTGTATTTTAAATTTGGAATTAATTTGTGCTAGATCATGCTATGTTCGGTTTTAAGACTCACCTTAGGAAATTTATGATACGAAGTATTGAATAGTAAGTGATTTGGGATATGATTTGGGCCTTTTTTGAACCGTTTGAGCCTTTCAAGCCGACCTTTTTATCGAAATTCCTTAGAACCTTGATTTGAGCCTCGGAGAAAAGGTGTTCTTTCTTTAAGCCAATGTGTAAGGTAGAATAGGTGGAGATTCTTGAAAAATTACCCCTTGGAGTTCGGTCGAAAAATTTTATAAGGTCCTTCTTCTTCTTCGAAAAAAAAAAAAAAAAAAAAAAAAAGAAATAAAAAGAAGAAAAATATCTATGCTTCTATATATATATATAAAAAAAAAAGAAAAAAAAAGAAAAAAAAAAAAAAAAAAAAAAGAGAAAAAGAGAAGAAGAAGAGACTAGAAGGGAGAAATAAGGACTAGTTGTTGAATTATTTTTGAAAACTCGACCCATTGTCTCAAAAGCAAAAGTGGAGACTTTTGAACTTTTGAGAATCGAGTTTATTAAAGTCCGTAGAGGTGAATTCATTGTTTCAAACGCCTATCTTTCAAATTTTGGCGTAATCACCTAAATTCAAGAAGAATAGCCACACATACCCATATTTCCTACCTCAAACCAAAGAGCCTAACAATTGAAAGCCACAAAGCCCCAATGATCCCAATAGCTTAATGTTCGATATTAGTAGAGTAGAATAATTTGGTGAGTATTTGGAGTCAAGCATATGCATGTAAGTATAAATTCTTTCTATCTTTAATTTGCAAATATTGGATGCTTGAAGCAATTGTATGAATTGTGGTTTTTGGTAATGGTGAGTGACTAAGTGTTGTTGAAATTTGAGCTTGCGAATGCCTAAGAATTGTCATTATAATTTCAAGTTCTGAAAACGTGAAGTTGATCATTGATC